CAAAGGTTCTCAGGATTCATCTACTCGATTTAGCGATTCATTGCCTTCCTGTCATTAACACGATCACAGACATTCGGGTTCCATAGGAGGGGGGGAAGTCTTTGACTAGCTGAGCGACTTCCAGCTTGCTAAGTGTCAGCAGTGTTGGCCCTTGCTAGAGGGCAGCTCGTTGGTAACACTGCTCAGGGGTGGCTGAACCGTGATCTTCATGGTCCGATGAAACCGCTCGCTGGACCAGTTGAACGCGCGTTCGGAAATGGCGAACGTCTGTATGACGCGTGGAACTGGAATCGGACCTAAAATGCAGTTCTGTCGAGACGGCCCGTAGTGTTTAGAGATGCGTTTCTGATCCTTTGATGGCGACTGTCAGACCCACGCGAGTACTGATTTCACCTCAGCAGTTTGATTTCTGTCGAAAGCACATACAACACTCACTTGGTAGATTTATCGTTGGTATCCAATTTGGCTACGAGCAGTAATTTCTTGCGTACACACGGAAGATATCCGTGGCCTCCGGACCACGCGACACAGCTGTGGCTGAAATTGCATCTGAAGCCAGTTTCCTAGCTTCCTACCGCCGTGCGTCTTCTGTTTCCACATCTGCAGAAGTCCCTTCAGAGACAGTCCAACAACAATTCGCCTTGCGTCACAGGGAATTTATATTTTGAAACTGTTACAGTCACGAGTTGTCTTTCGTGATTTCATCAATTTTGCAAACGAAACGAACGGGCCGAAACTCGGTCTCCGGGAGCGGGGGAGGAGCCTGTGACCTTTAAATGCCAGACCCCACAAGGAATACGAAGGCTTAACTTCACAGGGTATGAGTTGGGAAATATCACTAGAAAGTTTTACAAATTTGTCCAAGTTGGCTACGTGCATGCATAATATCATTCGTGTTTCGTAACTACCGAGCAGTTTTTGCGGATTATTTTCTTATGTTTCGCTTTTTCTTCGTCAGATCAGAAAAAAAAACATGAATTTTTTCGTGCTGAAGTGATCGATTTTGAAACTTGGCGTACATTGGGTCTTTCAGGGAAGTCAACAGAATGGTTTGAGTACTGAGTATTTTGATTCAAGTGTCAAGATATATCGTGACATTTCTGAATTGTGTGTCGTAACCCCAGGTATTGTTCGGTTTCTGTGTCCTGAGTAGTTCATCAGGGTGTAGTCAACCGGCCTTGGTCGACGTAGCTTCGAACCACCCACGAACTTTTATTAACATTTGCATATCTTGATAATGTAACCAACTGTCGTCTTTCGACTACGCGAGCACCCGAGCGATGTCTGCCTTCTGCAGAATGTGCGGAACTCTTAAGCGATCCTCTCACAACCTTGCAGTGTGCGCCGTCAAAGCTGCAGCGTGAGCCAAGAACGTTGTCGTCGCGATTTCCTAGCATGTAGGCAGCCTGCAAACCCTTCGAGCCCTCTGTGGTCTGTTCGAACCAGGAAGCGAATTTGCTCTTCTCTGACGACCGGAGATGGCAAGAAGTAATTCTGCAGGAAATGGTTTTGCAGGCGACGAACTTGTGGTAGGTAAACCGGTACCACGCCCCTGCCACTGACGCAAAAAGTGAGACAAGAGAAGATTTTCGCTCAGTCGGTGAACCGAAACGTCGAGGATCGATAGTGGACGCGAAGAATGAAATGTGCGTAGAAATTGTGTAACGAGAGGTCCAGCATTCGAATTCTGATTAGGGGAATGAGGTCGGCGGTGGTGCAGTGGGGGAGATGACAAACGAACGCAAAATTTTGGTCACGAAACCTAGAAATACACGGGAGGAAAACGTTTTAAACGAGTGTGGATTTGGTGTATGGGTTGGACCGGTCTTTTTCAGGGCAAGGGCAAGGGCCTGTGGCGGGCGGCGTTGAAGTTTTTGGTTGCACGAAATAAGCTAAATTTCCACTGCTAACTTCTCAAGAAGACTCAGACGACGCACAGCGGTGTTCGACGTGTAGCGTTTGCAACCCCTGCCTGCCCCATTGGAGTGTAATCAGAATGGCCGTCAGTCGGTGGCTGCCTGGCTGGCACCAGGATGTGAAAGTAGCCATTGTGTTCTTGTTCGTTATGTCATAGGACGACTGCAGGCTCCACGGTCCACGAACACATGAGAGGACAAAGCAAGGCAAAATTACTGAGACCACGAAGTGTGGGGACGTGGCGGTACTCCGGCTTGGAGTATCACTACATCGTTGGCCTTCATACTCAATAGTTCATAATCGCGTCAGGCAACTTCATTTTTCCTCCGTGGCATTAGACGTGTAATTTCACTGCCTTGCCTTAGGTCAATAAAAACAATAAATTCCACGACGCTGCTGGTGGATAACCTCTCCTGCAGCGCCAGAATCAGAAACGAATCTTTCTTGTTTGCCCGTCGTTAAATCTTTTGCACACATTTCTGTACGAAGAATCGTTTCCAAGAAGGTCGATTGGCCTACAATTCGACTTGAATTCCGCGTAAGCGATTTGACCGATAGGAACTGAACGCTCAATCCAACACGATCACTAGCTTCGGCGATGAAACATGAGCACGTCTGGGTATAACCTCCTCATCATGCGTTCTTTTTATGCATATTGTGCAGTGTACGCGCAGTCCCCAGATTTGAAGGGAAGGGGCGTATTTCAGGTGCTCCCGACTCCGGTAAGATTAGATGTCGGTTTTGTAGAGCTTATGAGTCGGTCACTGAAATTCTGTAAACTTTTCACGGTTCCAGTGTTACTTTGTCAGGCATAGTTCAGATGGACGTGCGTTTGTTTACGGTGCACGTGGCTCGGTTCGACTCCCAACAAGGTTGTTTCACCACGTGGAGGCTGTAAAATGAAATTTATTTCCTTTCTCATCGTGAAATTGTGAAAATAAACAGCCCCCCTTCAACATGGACCCAACATCTCCGGAGTAAACACAGAGTGGAGACAGAGACACGCTGCTGAATCCCAGATCGACCACTCCTCGCTCTCATTCTCAGACCTGAAGAAGGAAGAAACGAAATAAGTAATCCAGAGCAAGTGGCCACTATTTCTGGAACGACAGCTGCCATGCGCATGTCCGTCTGTCAACTGTCTTCTTGCGACCACGTGCTGACCGCACATTCTTCTGATCTGCAGAACGGTCCAGACGCAAAGTGTACCAAGTGCCGATTGATACGAGGGTGAGGCGGGGGCGAGATAAATTATTAGATCAGAATTTAAATGTCGATGCGCCCTCTCATTCGACGTTACGTAGTCTCGCCTACAGAATAAGCGTCGTTAAATAAACTCTGCAACCCAGAAGACAGCCGTCCTTCGAAATATTTGTTGCCCGTCAATGACTCCAGTTTGTGACATAATTGTCAATAAACATAACCTCAATGCAAGAATATTCGTATTTTTTGTTGAAACGCCTTCCAGAAAGGGGACTGCATCACAGGCAGGCGTCGAAGCAAGGAATAGACAAACAGAAAACACTGAATTAAAGCCTCTCATCGGAGAGGTCGTCTTTCTTCTGAGCGCCACGAACAATGAACTGCGGGAGTTCCGCTTGGAAGTAGTCCAGCGGGTCTCTCTGCTGCAGACAATGGAACGCGTCCTTTGTACTCCTCAGCGTTGTCGTGGTGCATGAGCGCGGAATTTGGGTTACGCCGTCGTCGAGTGACTCAACAAGACGTGGAACTTTTCCTCCAGTTTGGGGCTCCTGTAGTTTCGTGCAATTCTCTGGCACGCACGCACGTGTCGTTTATGCACCAAACCAAAAGTCCCTGTCACGAAATGGTATGTTTCAAGGTCACGGAAATACTTCCTGCCTGTTTCCTGCTTTGCTACGTTGCGAGTTCTGAGTTGTTGGTTCTAAGATAATCAGGACGCGGAGTTTCCCCGTGCACGATAAAGCTAATGTTATACACCCTCTACTTTTCGGTCTTGCAATTACATGTTTTCTGCTCGCGTTCCTCGTCTCCCCCATCCCCGACACTCGCCCAATTACAAAGTTCCTCGTCCTGCGTTGTTCGCTAGTAGGCGTGACCCTTGGTTCCTGACCCTGGGAGAAGAACAGAAATTTTGGAAGAGGTGCTCGGGGGGGGGGGGGGGTACACAAAGGGAATGAGGGAGAGGGGAGGCAGCTTGGTAACAGAAGCCTGCACAATTGGTAGCAGGGAAGAGATCACTTGGGAGACCTAAATGTAGATGTAATCTTGAAGATTGCAGATGAGTTGACTGGGTTCAGCTGGCTCAGGAGTGGCGGATGCTTGTGAGAATGGTAATGAACCTGAAGTCGCTGGCAGACGGCAACTTCGTACGAAGTCTCGTGGCTTTGCTCTGGTCGACATGCGAGTTTCCTTCAGTCGGGTCCTCCCATTTACGCCTAAGGCCGACAGGTGTTTTTCATTTCTGTCGTTGGTCTCCCCTGTCGCGACGTTCGATTGTCCTCAGGATCGCATTCCTGGATAATTCCGTGGGTTCTCTTTGTTCGAGGAGGACTGTCGTGGTCTAGCATCACTTTCCTTTCAGAACAAGAGACGACGGTGTCACACAACGCCGTGAAACACCCGCCCGCCTTTCCTCCGCGGAGCACTCTTCGGGCGACAGAGCATTTTCTCCTGTTTTCTCTCCCATGCATTGTACTGAAAATAGTAGGAAAAGGCGCTTCGGTGAGCTCGTTCTCAGACGATATGATCTTTACAAGCGTCCTGTAATTACGCGAGATGTCTCTGATTGTAGTAAGAAAACTCGCTCGCCTCTCAGCCCGATTACAATGACATCATATAATAAATAGAGACCAGCTTTCGTTCTGCAGGGCGAAGATGGCTGACTTCTAGGATTTTCAAACTTGCTTCCCACCTTCATTATCGCCCTGACGATGAACGCGGAAAGCACCTCTGAAACATCGATAATCGTCTACCACACTACACGGCGCAGCAACCCAGAAGACAGCCATCTTCAACAGGATCCTAACCCTGAACTGCGGACGCCGATGCATGAAGTCGTTTTCAGTCAGAGCCACCTCGATTCATGGTCCGATTTGTTTCAGGCGACACGAGATTCCCCGATTCGGCGAGTTGTAACAGCGATGCCGCCGACTACGCGATGAAGGCGGAAGTGATCGGGTGGGTTGCCACAGCCGTCGGGACGCCCATAGTCATCGTGACGCTATGTTGGACGCTCGTGATCTTCCATTGCCACCGCCGATACTGGCGGGGCACGGACCTCCTGATGGCCGCCGTCTTGTCGCAAGGCGTCGTGAAGCAGGCAGCGACGTTCGCGTACACCGTCCTGGCACTGCTCCAGACGCTGGATTCGAACGAGGCTTGGTGTTCGGGGATCGTGTGGCTCCTGACGTCCATCCACACCCTGCAAGCAGGAACCCTCGCGACTCTCGTGTTCTCGCGGCTCCTGGCTCTCCGCTCTCCGGTCAGGTATCGACAGGCCGTGAAGCGCACCCACATCGTCTACCACCTGGTGTCTCTGTCCATCCTGAGCTCTTGCATTGGCGTCGCGGCGGTGCTGGCAGAATCGAAGCGAGACGCAGGCGTGCAGGACGACGTGGCCAATTCCACAGTCGCCACTCATGGCGAGGAAATGCAACACTGCACGTTTCTGCCTCATGAGATGGATCGAAGATACGCGGTACTTTCCGTCACACTCCATTCACTGCTCGACGTTTCGTCAGTAGTTGCCATTATCGTTACACTGTTCAGTTGGTGTTGTCTTTATAGGCGTCAGAAATCCAATATCAGCGTCTCGTCGATGACGGGAGGTCGTGGAAATCATAAGAGGCAGTTGCTGACGTCATCCTCGGACGTTTCGGCCATGTCGGATATGTCTGTGACATCGACACGGAATTGCGGTAGCAGCAAGGGTGGTAATGTTGGCGTGTCTGCAAAATGCACGTCGAGTAATGGTCTCTTCATGCACGGGTTACTGGCGTCTCATTTAAGATACATTGATAGCCGCGACGGCAAACCGCAGCCCCCGAAAGCCACCAGTTTGGACGGCCTTCCAACTGTGTCGTGCAGCAGTGGCGACGGGAACTGTTTCCCACCCAACGCCAACATCGCTCTTGGCACAGAATTTCCCAGTTCGTCCAGCTGCTACGCCGACAGATCCACGGACACCTTGAAGTCCTGCGCTGTCATCTCGAACTACAGCCACACCGCCCCGAAGTCTCTCATCAGGGGTCAGGGCCCGCACTGCGACGAGATCTACGGAAACAGCTCCGGGGCCAGCGGAAGTGGACACGCAGAGGATGGATGCCGCTGGACATCGGAGTCTTCTTACGTCTCGACATCGACATCGTCGACCAACAGCAGAGCTCCGTGCCTCGCGAGGCAGTCCGTCAGAGACGAGGTCGTGACGGGCCTCGAGGAGCTGAGGCTGTCGTCAGTCGTCCCTGTGCTCGTGCTGTGCTACGCGGTCAACCACCTTCCGGTGCTGGTAAGTGAAGTTGTCGAGTTTCCTTCTCTCCGGGCAGTCGGCGGCCCGAAAGGATTTGGAAGCCGCCGAGGTCCCTCCAGGGTTCAAATCTCGGCTCGGTCATCGACCAGGGTTTCCGTGATTCTGCTTAAGTGACGAGTTCCTTTTCGTCGGTCAAGACTAAAGTTTTAATATCAGCTTCCTTCCAACTTGAGAAGGTGAAAATTTGCTCCGGGTGTCTCGTCGGCGTGTACCCACCCAAGTTTCCGGGCTCGACGCCCTTCGGGTAAATGGCAGAAGTTAGTAACAGAAATGTTGGCTCTAGAGCGACAGTTTCGTGTTCCTCGTCGTCTCTGCTGATCCGGAAGAAAGTTCCTCACAACTCGAAAGCTCATTTTTCACGGCCTTCTGAATCTCTGGAGCTCTGCGAGATTTGCCGAGTTTTACTATTCAAGGTCACCATCGGTCTGGGATAATTGAACTACATTCCAGCAAGAAACTAGTCTTGTTAGGATTCTGGGCTTGTGACGTCGTCTTCTAAGTTTAATAATAATCTGTTTTGAAATTTCTCTGGCGTTCTGAACTTTGTAGCGTATGTGCATGATGAAATTATACAGACGTAGTAATTACGTTTTATTTCATGAGATACATGTAACAGACCCAATATTTTCATACACGCCTGAAACTGTTTCTGTTTTTCAAGGATATTTTTGTACGGAGAAATTGTAAAGTCTTGGGGGGGGGGGGGGGGGGG